TTTTTTTCTCGTTTTTAACCCTTTGAAGCCGTTCTAACCCCGTTTAACCCTTTCAGGCCCGGTTTAGTTCCAGGTTAATTCCCCTTTAACTTGAGTTTTTAACCCGTTCTAGCCCCGCTGCCCCCCCCACCCCCTCTGGAACGCGTTTTAACCCATTTTTGTTTCATTTTAACGCTTTTAAACCCATTTGAACCCCATTTTACCCCCTTTAAACCCGTTTTAACCCCTTAAAACCCATTTTAACTCATTTAATTTCATTTTATCCCCATTTTACCCCCTTTAAACCCCCTTTAAACCCATTTTAACCCCTTAAAGCCCATTTTAACCCATTTTATTTCATTTTAACCCCATTTTACCCCCTTTTAAACCCATTTTAACCCCCTTTTAACCCCTTAAAACCCATTTTAACCCATTTTATTTCATTTTAACCCATTTAAACCCCATTTCCCCTCTTTTTACCCCATTTTAACCCCCTTACCCCCATTTTACCCCATTTTCCACTTATTTTTAACCCCATTTCCCCCCCTTTAACCCCAATTTTCCCCCTTTTACCCCATTTTACCCCATTTTAACCCCATTTTACCCCCATTTTACCCCATTTTCCACTTCACTTTAACCCCATTTCCCCCCCTTTAACCCCAATTTTCCCCCATTTTACCCCATTTTAACCCCAATTGCCTGGGCGCCCGGCGTGGCCGCCTGGGCCAGCGAGCTGATGGGGCAGCTGAGCAGCAAGTACGCCGGGCGGCCCGGCGTGCCGCCCGCCGCCAGCCTCAACGAGCTGCTGCAGCTGTGGATGGCGTGCCCGGCCACGCGGGCGCTGCTGGACATCTACAGCCAGTGCCTGGCCGCCATGGCGGGCAGCTGCCCCGACGCCTGCGTGGACGCGCTGCTGGACACGTCGGTGCAGCACTCGCCGCATTTCGACTGGGTGGTGGCGCACGTGGGCTCCTCCTTCCCCGGCACCATCATCAGCCGCGTGCTGTCGTGCGGCCTCAAGGATTTCTGCGAGCACGGCGGCGCCGGTGGCGGCGTCGCCGAGGCGGGCGACAAGCGCGTGCCCAAGATCGCCTCGGTGGTGGGCATCCTGGGCCACCTGGCGTCGCGGCACGCCGGCAGCATCAAGCAGGAGCTGCTGAGGATGTTCCACGAGAGCCTGGGCTCGCCCCGCGAGCACCACAAGGCCACGGTGCCCTTCCTGCTGCAGCTGGCGCTGATGTCGCCGGCGCTGCTGGCCGCCGTGTCGGCCGAGCTGGTGGACTCGCTGAAGCCGCCGGTGCTCAACCAGCTGCACCAGCACTTCTCGGCCGTGCCCAGGGACGAGCTGGACGGCGTGGTGGGCGTGCTGGTGCACCTGCTGTGCCACACCTCCGCCGGCGCCCTGCGGACGCTGCGCTTCCTGCTGGCCACGGCCGCGCCCGCCTCGGTGATCGCGGCGCCGGGCCCG